ATGCTCACCACAGAAAGCACCTTCTTTGGGACACTGTCACACCACAGTTCTTTTTTCTCCATTTCTCCATCCCATCGGGATTTCAGGCACCCACATACGTGTGCCCAGCATATTTTTCGAGTCACGGGGGCCAGAATTCAAACCGCAGTTGGCCATGGTTGTACAGTTGCCGATGTATAGCCCTTAACCACTATACTATGGCACTAACCCTAAAACATAGCTTTCTTATCTTGAGTTTCTGACTTGGCAACTTCCAGTAATAAACAACATATACTTGAGTCCATACTCAGAGGATAACCTTTCATTATATAATCCAGTCTGCTGTTTTTGTTTTTGTTTTTCAGTTTCCTCCCATTTATCCTAAGCTCCAGCTACATGGAGCTCATTTGTCATGCCTTTTTCTTTTTAATATTTATATAATTTTAAGTCTCCTGGTGCTTATCACAGGCTGTGTTTCTACACTGACTATATAGAAAGAGGAGGCAGAGTAAACCTACTCCGTATACACCTCAGCCCAGGGCCTGTGCCTAGTTTGTATTATGAATTGGGGGATTTGGAGGAAAAAAGCTTTATTTAATTTTATTATTATTGTTATTTTTTAAATTTTTGAGAGGATTCACATGCTCACCAGAGAGAGACAGAGGGAAAGTGAGAAGGTGAGAAGGCAAGCAGGCAAACTACCAGATCCAAGACTCAAACCACAGTCAGCCATGTGGGAGTACAACGCCTCAGCCACCATGCCACCTGCTGGCCCCATGTCTTGCTTTCTTTTACTTTCATGCTTCCCTCTACTTATAATATTGTTCTCCTCTTTACTCACTCTTAAAGACTAAATTTAATTTTTCTTTTCCTACTATACTAGCTATTCTAGCAGCCTTTAAATCTTATACATTGTAATATAACCCTGAACTGAGTTGGAAAATTATGGCCTGTGGGCTAAATCCAGGTAGCTACCTATTTTTTTACAGCTTGAAAACTGAGAGTAGTTTTACCTTAGTAATAGATTGATTTAAAATGTGTAAAAGTAATATTTTATGATGTGAAAATTACATGAAACTCAAGTTTCATTGTACATAGTTTTTATTGAGATACATCAACACTCACTTGTTTATATATCATCTATTTTTATTCTGTAACAATAGAGTTGAATAGTTTAAATAGAGATAATGTGACCTACAAAACCTAAAATATTTACTGTCTGCCCTTTTACTGATATAGTTTGCTACTCCCAATTCATATGTAAGGACCCTTGACTTATTTTTATCATATTACTGGAAATGACTTAACCTGCATGATTTCATATATAGCATATACAATATTGAAATTTTACTATGGGTATTTTCTGACTAATAAGTCACTTTCCTTGCTGACAGTTCTCAATTTTAGATAATCTAGAACAGATGCCAAACATTAGAGAAAAAATTCATAAAGAGTAATAAATTATTTAAATTGGTAATTAATTGCCTTTTGTTCATTTTGATAGCAGACAGCCTCAGTTGGTCTGATTCCTTGTAACCCAGTGATTTTAAGAGATTAAATTTATGGAGAGACTAAGTTGAGGCACCGTCACTAAACTGTGGTTTACAAAGGCAGTATTCTTTTTTTGTCTAGACCTTGACATATTACTATGCACATAGCAATCATTAACATACTTGAATTAAGGCATGCTACCTCATGGATACTTTGACATACAACTGCCCTAATTTTGTTGCCATATGTGGAAAAAGTTAAATGATATACTTGTTTTAGTCACTGTTACCATTATATCATTCTTTGTTTTCTTTTTGAAGTTCATATAAGTTAACTTTTATTTAAACCAAAATTAAATTTGTATAAATATTTCCCCCCTTTTTTCTAGGAATCTGAAGAACTTTCTTCCGATGAAGAGATGAAAATGGCAGAGATGCGGCCACCATTAATTGAAACCTCTATCATCCAGCCAAAAGTTGTAGCACTCAGTAACAATAAAAAAGGTTAGATTTTGGGGACCATAGGTGGCATGGTGATTTGGGTTCTGGACTCCCACCTGGTTGATTGCAGTTCGAGTTCTGGACCTGGCAGCTTGCTTTCTTACTTTCCCTCTCTTTCTCTCATTCTGTCCCTCTCTGATCAAATTATGATAAATAAATAAATAAATTTAAATAAAATTATTCTTTTTTTAAAAAAAGTTAGATTTTTGAAGCAAAGAACTGAGACTAGAAATTACCTAAATAAAATGTATAATCATTTTTGAATAAAGTTCATTGCCATGTCATTTAAAATATATTTTTAAAACATTTTTTTAAAGAATTTTATTTATTTGTCATGATATTATCCTTTTAATTTGCTATAGGGAACACATACTTAGCAGAGGGAGAGAGGAAAAGTGAAAGAGCAAGCTACCAGGTCCAGGGCTAAAACCATGGTAGACCACGTAGGAGTTGAGAGCCTTAACCACCACACCACCAGGTGGCTTTGTAAAAAAATTTTTTTCTTTAATTAAAGAATACTTATTCATTTTTATTTATCAGCATTATTATTTTATTGTAATTTGCTACAGGGCACATGTGCTCACCAGAGAGAGTGAGAAAGTGAGAAAGCAAGCCACCAGGTCCAGGAGTTGAATTGTGGTAGGCTGTGTGGAAGTCCAACACCTTAACTACCATGCCACCTGCTGGCCCCTGAAAACGTTTTTAAATACGCCTTTCTGAAAAGTCCTTTATCATTTGTAAGAAAGATCTTGATAGATCTTTACTCCTACCTAATGGAAAATTACTTATAAAGGCAGGGTCTTTACAGACAGATAAGTCTGGAATATAACTCCATTTTTATGCTTACCTGTTATGTGATCTTTTATCATTTTGTCCATACCTAGGTTGGAATACTATTGAGAGGTTATTGGAGGATTTTTTCAAGTTGTCGGGTTATGTAATTGATTATGTAAGGTATTCAGATTTAGCACAATACCTGGTGTATAGTAGGTGTTCATTGTTCACTTTAATCTATCCCAGAACGTTTTTTAAACACATACCCCACAACTCCTGCCTGCCATTCTTTTATGTAACTGAATCTCAGACTCTTAAACATGAAATGAATCTTAGAGGATATCTGTTTCTTTCCTCATCCTTCCCCACCAATGCCTGACTCTGTCTACATCATTTACACCAAATATTTATCAAATCCTTTGCCTTCTTGTCATTAATGATTCTTACTATCTTTTTCTTTTCTTTTTTTTTTTTTTTTGGAGAGATTTTTGCTATAGGGTGCTTGCGCTTGCCAGAAAGACAGAAAGTGAAAAATCACCCCCCCAGTGGGGATGACCACGTCACAACCCCTTCTCCTCTTGGGATCATGCACGCACATGCCCCTGCGTGAGTTTAAGCCACCAGGTCCAGGACTCGAACCACAGTCAGCTACATGTGAGTCCAGGGACGCAGCCATTACACCATCTGCTAGCCCCAATGCTTACTATCTAAGTGGCCTTTGGATAGCTTGAGTTCGTAATAACTATGGTAGTGATACCAACTTTTTATTGATCACTTTCTAGTTGCTTAAGGTATTGTGCTAAGTATTTTATGTTATAATTGTCAAAGTAATCCCATGCTAAAAAGGAGAGAGAAGAGGAACATTTTTAGGAAAGAACACCATTTAATTTAACTGTATTTTTTTAAATGAATAATCTTGAGATCACTAGATAGCGTAATGGTTACATCACTGGATTCCCACATAGTTGACCATGGTCCAAGTCCCAGACCCAGTGACTTAAAACTCATGTGGGTTCATATGTGCGCATGCCCAAAATCCTGAGAGAAAAACGGAGGAGAAGGGATTGTGACGTGGCCATCTCCCCTGTTGGGTGATTTCTCACTTTCTGTCTTTCTCTCTTTCTGGTGAGTTCACATGCCCTGAAGCAAAAATCCCTAAAAAAAAAAAAAAAAAATCTTAGATCCAAATACCTTGAGGTTGAGGTACAGAGTCCCCATGCACTCTATTTTCAATTGTAAATGCAATCCAGACGCTTTGAGCTGTGCTACTAAGCTCTTAAAACAACGGAAATACCTTTAATTCATACAATTGTGTGTAAACATTCTGCATACCCCATTTCCATGATTTGATTAGACTCAAGTTTGAAACAGCTTTTTTATCACTACTTTTGAAAACTACTGCTTATTACATTGTCTTTAAAAGAAAATGAACATATCTATTTCTAGTTATGTAATTGCTACACACACAACCATCTCACATTCTGAGAGTACCATAAACAATTATATGAAATGCCTTAAAAACATGAAGAAATGAGAGAGCTGACCTATGCAAATCTCTTGGTTTGTTTGGTAATTGTATGTGTGTGTGTATGTGTGTGTGTTTCTGGATTAATTGCATTGCTTTTTTTATTATCAGGTAGACATTAAAAAATTCCACACATGTAAAATAATTTCTTATCCAGAAAAGTTTACAAAAGTTGTGAACTATAACTATTTTTTATTAGTTTTAAGAGTTGTAAATGGCTAGAAAGCATATCCGCTAAATTGTCGGCCATAGAAGACAATACGTAGAATCATCTTGTCAAGTGGTTAAACTAAATACAATTCTGAGTAACTGTAATGTTGATTATATTTAAGAAATTAAGGTATCACTATTTTAAAATGCTTTAATCTGGGTAAATTTGAACTAATTTTTCAGGGTTGTCTCTGGTTATCTTTTTATCTATATTATTTATGACCTCACATGGAACCAGGACAGTCGGCCATGTCATTAACCAGGAAAGCATCTCACGCAAATTCTTGGCGAATTGATCATTGCTATTAACTCTTTTGTTTATTTCAGATGATACAAAGGATACAGATTCTTTATCAGATGAAGTTACACACAATAGCAATCAGAATAACAGCAATTGTTCTTCTCCATCTCGGATGTCTGATTCAGTTTCTCTTAATACTGATAGCAGTCAAGACACTTCACTCTGCTCTCCAGTTAAACAAGCTCATATTGATACTAATTCCAAAATCAGGTTTGTGAACATTTTACAAAATTATTTATTTGTATAGTAAATAGGAAGAGTATAGCAAGTAATACATACATGACAAAAACATAAAAGGTTTCATAATCTCTCTTTTTTAAATTTTGATATAAGGTGCATGCACTGATCAGAGAGAGAGGGAGGGAAAGTGAGAAAGCACCCCACCAGGAGGGATGGTCATGCCATAATTCCTTCTTCTCCATTCTCCTCTCAGGATTTTGGGTATGCTCACCACACACCTACCTGCCTGGTGTGTTTTTCCCGCCTCTTGATCCAGGACTCAAACTGCACAGTTAGCTATGTGGGATCCATCCTCCTTAGGCTCAGCTAAGGGTGCACCACCAGCTGTCCTGGATTTCATCAATTTTAGAGAAGTGGTTAGACAGAACTAATAGTCTCCTGTTACCTGTAGGGAATATGTATTGTTCCAGGACCCCTAGTGGATGCCTGAAAGTACGGATAGTATTGTACAAAACCCTATACATACTAGTATATACCTGTGATAAAGTTTAATTTGTAAGTTAGGCATAATAAGACATTAACAACAATAATAAAATAGAAAAATTGTAACACATTACTGTGATAAAAGTTATTCCTAAGAATGTGTTTTCTCCAAATTTCTTACTAATTTTTTGTAATACCAAGTAAAAATAAAATTTCTCCAGTTTTCTCCAGTTTTGGAATAGCACATTTATAAAATATTTGGTCAAAGGTCAAATAGAACATATAGTCACTTAAAAGAGTGATATTTTGTTTTTATCCATTTTACATATTTAACATAGAACTTTGGACAATTATTCAGTTCTCTGTACAATTTCTTTATATGTTTGATTCTAATAGAACAGTTTAGTTAATACGGTTAACCATGGTTCATATGACTGACTAATAATGTAAAGCTTCAAAATTACCCATAAAAATGTCCCGTGCTCTTCATTTATCCTGGTTATTGGTTTTTCTCTTCATAATCTGCTTATCTTAAAACGTTTCAATTTTTAGAATTGTCATAAAAAATGGAGCAGAAGAGGATGTATAATTCCACTTTCATTCATAGTTTTTGTTCAGAGTTTAGTAGCCTTAAACTATTTTGTGACACAGGCCAGACTGCTTATGTGGTGGTTAAGGCAGCTGGATCCCACATGACTAACTGTGCAGTTCAAGCATCAGACCTGGTAGCTTGGGAAATGTGCTCGGCATGTGTGCATGCATGTTCAGAATCCTTAGAGAAAAACGGAGGAGGAGGGATTGCAGTGTGGTCACCCCCTGGAGAGTGATTTTTCACTTTTCTTTCTCTTTCTCTCTGGGGCACACTTATGCCCTAAAAAGTTATTTTGTGACAGATTAGATTTAGCATATTGATGAGAAACAATCCTGATACTTTCAACGAATTTTAACTGTTGTTTTACTTGTCACCAACCTAATATAAGCTAATATTACTTGACTGTTAAGATAGTTTAAAATTACTGTATTCCACAACTTTTTTAACTTGTGTACCTATACTTGTATATTTCCCCTATTACTAAGAAAACTTGGCTTTATTATGTTTTTTATAAAATTATCTTTATTTTAGGCAAGAAGATGAAAATTTCAACAGCCTTTTACAAAATGGAGATATTTTAAACAGTGCAACAGAGGAAAAACTCAAGGATCAGGATAAAAAAGATTTTAACTTACCTGAATATGATTTGAATATTGAAGAGCAGTTAGTTCTAATTGAGAAAGGTGTTGACTCAACAGCTACATCTGATGAATCTCATAAATTAGACCATATTAATATGAATCTTAATAAACTTGTAATGAATGATACATTTCAACCAGACATGGTGGAAAGATCAAAGACACAAGATATAATGCTTGGAACAGGCTTTTTAAGCATGTCTAAAGGGGAAGCTGAGCACTTGGAAAATGGAAACAAGTATTCTAACCTGAAATCTATAAATAAGATAAATGGACATTCTGAGGAAACTCCACAGTCTCCCAGTAGGACTGAGTCACATGATACCAGTTCTTCTGTTGACATGGGTATTTCCAAAAGCACTGAAGATCTCTCCCCTCAGAGAAGTGGTCCAGTTGTATCAGTTGTGAAATCTCATAGCATAACTAACATGGAGACTGGAGGTTTAAAAATTTATGACATTCTTAGTGATAATGGACCTCAGCAGCCAAGTGCAACTGTTAAAATCACATCTGCCATTGACGGAAAAAATATAGTCAGGAGCAAGTCAGCCACACTGCTGTATGATCAACCATTGCAAGTATTTACTGGGTCGTCGTCGTCTTCTGATTTAATATCAGGTACAAAGACAATTTTCACATTTGATTCAAATCATAATCCTGAAGAGACGAATATTCTAAGAGGCCCTACCACAAGTGGCCCACAATCTATGCCTCCAGTGTATGGTCCTCCACAGTATAATATCCAGTACAGTAGCAGCGCTGCAGTCAAAGACACTCTGTGGCACTCCAAGCAAAATCCCCAAATAGACCATGTCAGTTTTCCTCCTCAGCGCCTTCCTAGGTCAGAGAGCATGGAAAATCACAGTTATGTTAAACATCCTGCCAATATGAATTTTTCTAACCATAACAATGTTCGAGCTAATACTACATACCATCTACATCAAAGACTTGGCTCAGCAAGACATGGGGAAATGTGGGCCATCTCTCCAAATGACAGACTCATTCCTCCAGTAACTCGAACTACAATTCAGCGACAAAGTAGTGTGTCCTCTACTGCCTCTGTAAATCTGGGTGATCCAGGTCCTGCAAGAAGGGCCCAAATCCCTGAGGGGGATTATTTATCATACAGAGAATTACATTCAGTAGGCAGAACTCCTCCAATGATATCAGGTTCACAGAGACCTCTTTCTGCACGAACATACAGCATTGATGGTCCAAACGCATCAAGGCCTCAGAGTGCTCGACCTTCTGTAAATGAAATACCAGAGAGAACTATGTCAGTTAGTGATTTCAATTATTCACGGACTAGTCCTTCAAAAAGACCAAATGCAAGGGTTGGCTCTGAGCATTCTTTATTAGATCCTCCAGGAAAAAGTAAAGTTCCTCATGATTGGCGAGAACAAGTACTTCGACACATTGAGGCCAAAAAATTAGAAAAGGTAATTGAACATGAGTTTTTCATTCTCTTTATAGATTTACTTATTTTTCTTAAAAATATTTGCCATTTTTTGTTTTTCAAATAAGGTGAAAAGAGATACTGTGAATTATTGATTATCTACTTATATTCTAAGAGTTTTACACTGGTACTGGAGTGGAGTTCAAAATTTAAGCTGAAACAGTACAGATGCTAGTGTAAGCTTTTTTCCCCCTCCCTTACTCTCCATTGTTTCTGATGGGCATATATTCATTTTATGTTTATGTATGTATCTTTCTAAAATTGTGCATGCATCCTAGGGGTAATGCATGTTGACTCTGTTTAGCATTTTCTGATTTCACACTATTTGTAATTGTAGATCCTGTAAATAGTATAAGAAAATATTGGGTCACTGGAAATATCATGACACATTTTTGCATAGAAAAATACATCATGACTTTTCCCACAACCTGATAGTTCACTATACAAAGAGACTTTATGAAGTTCATGGGGAAAATTGAGTTAAAATACAAGTTTATTTTGAGGCATGCAAATTTTGAAATCTATGTATAGTTTTCTTTAATGTATATTTTCCATGAACTTTTTGAATATCTCTCATATTATAGTTAGCCCCCTCAAAAAAAAAAAAAAAAAACAAGAAATGTACTGCAAATGTAATTACTTCGTATAATTTTTTTTGCCAGTCCACATTAAGTGAACTAACATAACTGACAGAGATGGCTTCTACCATGTCATTTATTCCTGGCTTTTCTAAACTGCATTTCTGATCTACTTGAATTCAGTTATGTCTTTCTCTGGTTCTCATGTAGCTTATAGTGTAGCTTACTAATAGTTAATAAAATAACTCATGCTTATGTTATTTTATACCTTTATGTTTAGATATTCATCTTTTCAAAGAAGTTAGTTTTTTTTAATTACCTTGGTACAAGCCCATGACCCAGTGATTAAGGGAACCAGATTCTTTACTTGTTTTTTTTTAAAGAGAGGTTTTTTTGTTTTTGTTATTTTTTTGTTTGTTTTTTGTTTTTTGCTAAAGGGCATGTGCACTTGTCAGGGAGACAGACAGAAAGCAAGAAATCACTCCCCAGGGGCATTGGCCGTGTCACAGCCTCTTCTCCATTCTCCTTTTAGGATTTTGGGCTTGCATACACAAGCGCCCAGGCAGAGTTTAAAGATGCCAGGTCCGGGCCAACACAGTTGACCTCGTAGGAGTCCACAACACAGTTGACCTCGTAGGAGTCCAGCAATTAAACTATTACACCATTTGTTGGTCCTAAGGAAACCAGATTCTACATGGCCAACCACACAGTTCAAGTCCTGGCCCTTTTTGCTTGAAAAACACACTAGGTACATGTGTATGTTTGCCTAAAATTCCAAAAAGATAGATGGAGGAGAAGGGATTGTGACATGGCCACGCCTCAGAGTGTGCTTTTTCCCCTCTCCCTCTCTTTCTTTCTCTAGTAAAAGGAAGGGAGTGATTGGATGGGGTGGGAGTGAGGGAGGGAAAAAGTTAGCCTGTAAAGCCAAGACTAGTGCCATGGTTAGTTATCAGCAATAATCTATCTTATACTTATTAAATATAAAATTTGATTTTTAAATTTCTTAATTTTTTTGTTTGGATCTTTCATGAGTGAGGAAGAGAGACAGAAACTGTACCCTCAACAGAATCTTAATGCCGTGATCTATCCATAGCTTCAGCCAGCCCCAGATCATAGGCACTCACATCTGTGGTGTACTCAGGGACGTCTCCAGATGAAAACCCAAAATACACTCATGTGCATCATCCTTGTGTAGTATCACTTTGACCATTGCTCCTCCTTCCAGCCTTCTAAATGTGTTTTTAAAACGACTGAACATACATGGCTCAAATGAATCATTTTTAAAAACTCTTTAAATAAGTATTTTCAGAAATAAATACCTGTAATTATGATTAGTATCTACATAAGATTATGATTAGTACCTAATATCAATTCACATTAAATCTCAGCCTGTGGTTAGCCCTTTTCAGCACTGTCCTCTTGACTTTAAAAGCTGATTATCTGTGTTAGGCTACTTGATTAAAAATCATTTTTGTTTCAGCTCTTAACTACACACACTGTTTAGGACTTTTGAACTTGTGTTCCCTATCCAAGGAGTTTGGCAATTTCTTAAGCAAAGGGATAACATAGCTGTGTTTCATAATGAAACTTGTTGAACAATGTGAACTGGACTTTAAGAGGGAGAGGCTATAGTCAAATTGAGCCATGAAACTGCTTAGTAACCCAGATAAGTGAAATGTGAAGTGTTATCAGTAGAGTTGAGACAAAGGAATGGATTCAAGAATGAATAACTGGTTGTTGGAGTTGCTGTTAACTACTGCTAGACCTGACAAGGAGTAGATTTGAAGAAAAAGATGAGTTTAATGGTTATTTTTGTGTAGTTTACATCTCAGGAGTTCTCCCACTTCTCTCCTGGACTTCGGTAAATAGGAAGCAGGTAGCATCCATCTTGTCGTTCAATGTGCCTCTCAGCTTTTTTATTCATTGCATATAGCATATTTAGGAGTGTGCTCTACAGTTTCTGGGAGAGTGTAAACAGTAGTTTCCCTGTTGTGCCCATCGGTAGTTTAAAGATGAGAACTGGCTCAGTGAAACTAAGAGAAGCCTTATGACCAAAGAGATAGGGCAGACTATATCTGAATGCAAATATATAGCTGACAGGATCATTCCCATTTCCAAGGACGCATAGATCGTACTTGAAAGTTAAGAGGCATCTTCTTTCCCATTGGCCCTCACCTCCCAGACTGCTAATTGACTAGTGAGTGCACTACAGTATATTCCAGCTCATTGGCTGGGAAGCATTTCTATTAAATAACGAAGTATATATGCTACTGTTATTACAGCTCAGCTGTATTGTTCATAGGGTATTTTAGTTTCCACGTCTTTCTAAAACAATAATTAATTATTTTTAGTTTGCTATAGGGCATATGTGCTCACCAGAGAGAGACAGAAGAGAGAGAAAGTGAGAAACTAAGCTGCCAGGTCCAGAACTTAGACTACAGTTGGCCATGTGGGAGTCTAGCATCTTAACCACCACACCACCTATTGGCTCTCTCCATGTCTTTTTAAAATGTCTTCAGTGTCTGTTTCTTTCTGATCTTAATAAGTATTTGTGACATTATACTTCTACTTAATCTTTTGTAAAATTTTTATTTTCAGATAAATATTTGAACACATATGAATACAATATGTGTACTCAACCACATCCCAGGATAATGTATGTGGTAGGTGGTTGAATTTAACCGTATTAAAAAGAATTTATCATAAAATCAATATATGTTACCTTTTAGGTTTAAAAAAAAGCTACTGTATTATATAGCATTTAGAGAGAGAGCATAACTATTCAGAATTCTAACTCTTCTATATTTTAGCTAACTGGACAAGTAACTTAGACTTCCCTTACCTCAGTTGGATTCATCTGTAAAATCTGCAGTAAAAGGAACTACTCTTTTAAAAATTAAATGAGCTAGTACCATATATAAAGCATTTAGAATGGTATCTGGCAGGGTCAGCCCCGTGGCCTAGTGGTTGAGGGACCTGTATCTCATGTGGCAGACCACGCAGTCTTGAATCCCAGCTCCGGTGGCTTGCAAAATTACACGTGCACTCCCAGAATCCAGACAGGATGGAGATATGGAAAAGAAGAGATTAAGAGGTGACCATGCCTACTAGGGAGTGTTTTCTCTAATAATAATAGTTAAATTTGGGGCAGGCAGGTGGCATGGTGATTAAGGGTGTTGAACTCCCATATGGCCGACCGCAATTCAAGTCCTGGACCTCTGGTGGCTTGCTATCTTGTTTTCTCTCTCTCACACTCTGTCCCTCTCTGGTCAAATTAAAATAAATGAATGAATGAATGAATGAATGAATGAATGAAATTAAATTTTAAAACTCTTTAAATTAGTTTATTGTTTATAAAGTGCCAGCGACTATTACTGCACAGTTATTTCTCAATTTTGGCAACAAAAATTACCCTATTTTTTTTTCTTTTTTTTTTCTTTTTTGGAGAGGTTTTTCACTATAGGGCGCGTGCGCTCTCCAGACAGACAGACAGAGAGAGAAAGAGAGACAGAAAGCGAGAAATCACCCCCCATGGGGGGGGGATGTGCACGCCGCAGTCCCTTCTCCTCCATTCTCCTCTCAGGATCTTGGGCACGCACACACACGCGCCCGGTGTGTGTTTTAAGCCACCGGGTCCGGGACGCAAAACGCGGTCAACTACATGGGAGTCCAGCGACATAGCCATTACGCTAACTGCTGGTTCCCTATTTTTGTTTCATATTTTGTAAGTTCTTAGTGTAAAGATAAATTTTCTCGGGGCAAGCCAGTGGCATAGTGGTTATGTAGTTGACTGTAGTTTGATTCCTGGACCTGGTGACTTGAAAATCACACTGGGCGCTTGTGCATGTGTGTCCAAGATCCCAGGAGGAGAATGGAGAAGAAGGGATTGCAGTGTGACCATCCTCCCAGGAGATGATTTCTTACTTTCCTCTCACTGTCTCTGTCTCTGTCTTTCTCTCTCTCTCTGGCGAGCACATGCACCCTAAGGCAAAAACCTTTTGGGGGAATGAAAAGATAAGTTTTCCAAGCTGGTTCTTTGGTGCAGCAGTAGAAGCTGCTCAAGAGAAGCCAGATTCTATGTAGTGACTAGAGTTTTCACATCCTCACCTCAGGTGACCCAGAAACATGCTTGCTGGATGGAGCATGGGAGGAAAGGGGATCATGATGTTTCCCATTTTTCTCACTCATTCACTCACTCATTCTTGACCAACATACACATTTACTCTGTCATAAATAAAGAAAAAAGATGCTTTCATTTCATATCAGGAAGTTCTAGGGGGACCAGCAGTTAGCATAATGGCTATGTCGCTGGACTCCCACGAAGTTGACGGTGGTTCGAGTCCTGGACCCGGTGGCTTAAACCCACGCCGGGCACATGTGCGTGCGTGCCCAAGATCCCAAGAGGAGAATGGAGGAGAAGGGATTGCGGCGTGGCCATCCCCCCTGGGGGGTGATTTCCTGCTTTCTGTCTCTCTGTCTCTCTCTGTCTGTCTGGTGAGCGCACGCGCCCTATAGCAAAAACCTCTCCAAAAAAAAAAATCTAGGGACCAGCAGTTAGCATAATGGCTATGTCGCTGGACTCCCACGTAGTCGACCGCAGTTCACGTCCTGGACCCAGTGGCTTAAAACTCATGCCAGGCACGTGTGCGTGCATGCCTAAGATCCCAAGAGGAGAATGGAGGAGAAGGGATTGCGGCGTGACCACCCCCCCGGGGGATGATTTCTCGCTTTCTGTCTCTGTCTGTCTCTGTCTGTCTGGCGAGCACATGCGCCCTATAGCAAAAACCTCTCAAAAAAAAATTCTAAAAACATTAAATATGATTCTGAAAGTTTTAAAATTTATTGATGCTACTTTTGTGCTGCATGCTTACTCTTACTCATTAGGTGTGCATATTAAAAGTGCTGCAGGGGCCGGCAGATTGTATGGTGTTCTGGCACCGGATTCCAAGATGGCTGTCCACAGTTCGAGTCCTGGACCTGACAGATTCTTTTCTTGCTTTCTCACATTCTCTTTTCTGGTCAAATTAAAAAATAATAAATTTTAAAATAATAACAAATGAAATTAAACAATTTTTAAATAATTATTTTATCTAATTTTATTTATTCAATTTGACCAGAGAGAGCCTGGGAAGGGCAGTGGGGTAAGAAAGCAAGACACCAGGTTCAGGATTTGAACTGCAATTGGCCATATGGGAGTTCAGTGCCCTAACCTACCATACCACCTGCCCACCTTCCCCCCCCTTTTTTTTAGTGCTCCATAGGGGCCATAGATGACATAGTGGTTATGGCTCTGAACTCCCTTGTGGTTGACCAAGTTTCAAGTCCTAGACCCATCAGCTTGAAAATCACACTGGGCAATGTGCGTGCATTCCCAAAATCTTGGTAGGAAAATGGAGGAGAAGGGATTGCGTCCAGGCTCTTCCGTCCTGGGGGGTGATTTCTCACTTTCCCTCTCACCTGACTGACTGACTCTCCCTGTGAGTTCATGCACCCTATGGCAGGAACCTTAAAAAAAAAAAAAAAAAAAAAAAAAAAACTACATATGTCTACATAAATGTATTACTAGTTAACTTGTAGAATCATGATTTAGACTCCAAACTTCAAAGTACTGAAGGGTGTTGAAGGGTGTTACAGGATGTTTATTTTCTCTACACCAAAGAAACACATAGCCTCCCACCATAATTCTGATGGCAAAGTAGACATTTAAGAATTTTCCTCAGCAGATTTCATAATTCTTGCTTCTACCTTGCTAGGTAAATCCCCAAATTAAAATTTGCCACTTTGGTCAGCTAAGAATCTAGTCTTCGGGACCAGCAGTTAGTATAATGGTTATGTTGCTGAACTCCCATGTACTTGACCGCGGTTTGAGTCCCAGACCCAATGGTTTAAACTCACACCAGGCGCGTGTGCGTGCGTGCCCAAGATCCCGAGAGAAGAATGGAGGAGAAGGGATTGTGGCGTGGCCATCCCCCTTAATGGGTGATTTCTCGCTTTCTGTCTCTCTGTCTGTCTCTATCTTTCTGGCAAGCACACACACCCTATAGCAAAAACCTCTTCCAAAAAAACATGGTAAATGCCAGGTTCACATGTCCTTGTACAGCTGTCAGCATGTGTTGAACAGCATAGCCCAGGACATACACCTAGCATTTAATTGAGCTCTGCAAAATGTGTTGTGACAGAGTGAAGTTTGATATGGTTGCCTATGCATAAGCCTACATCTGAATATTTATACAGCCAGACCTGTTTTGAGCTTCAGTTTTATTATTCAGTGAAATATCTGAATATGGTCATGTATACATTCTGGATGGCAGAAAAGCTTTGTTCCAAGATCTATATATAATTAAAAGTTCTATCAAAATAAATAAGTAAATGTCAAAAAACAAAGTTCAGTTAGGCCATTCAAATTAACCACTTATTAAATCTGTGTGTATCAAATGAATGTATGGGATTTCTCTTTTTATTGTTAATATATTAACAAATAACAGTTATACATATTTATGAACGGTATGGGTGATGGTATGATATTTTAGTACAGGCATATAATGTAATGAGAGCACATCAGGGTAATTATATCTTTTATCTCAAGCACATACCATTTCTTTGTGTTGAGAACATTCAATATCCTTCTAGCTTTTTTAAATTAAATAATAAATTTTTGTTATATACAGTTGCTTTATAATGTTGTTGCTCACTGGGGTTTATTCCTTCTGTCTAGGTATTATTTTGTAGCCATTAAGCAAACTTTCCCAGTTCCCCCTCCCCACCATCCTTTCCTCCTTGTATTCTATTTCCACAAAATCAACTATTTTAACTTATACATGTGAGAGAGAACTTACAGTGTTTCTCTTCTTGTGCTTGACTGACTTCATTTAACATAATGTCCTTCAGACTCATTCATGCTGCTAAGAATAATAGAATAACATTCTTTTTATGGTTTAATAGTTTTATATGGTGTAGAGGTACTGTATTTTCTTTTTTCATCTGTTGATGGACTCTTAGGTTAATTCTATTATCTTGGTTAGCATGAATAATACTCCAGTAATCAAGGGAGTACACATACCTCTTTAAAATGCTCATTTATTTTGCTTTGATTATATACTCAGTAGAGGGATTGCTGGATCATATGGAAATTCAATTTTTGTTTTTTTTGAGGAGCCTCTATACTGTTTTTCCATAGTGGTTGTATTAATTCACAGTAAAACTGTATAAACGGTCAACTGTGAGTTAGAGTTACCTTTCTTCACATCCTCATTGGCATTTGTTGTTCTTTGTCATTTTGGTAGTAGCCATTCTAAGTGGGATAAAATGGTATCTCATTGTGGTTTTGATTTGCGTTTCTCTGATTATATGTGTTAAGCATTTTTTTTTTTTATGTATCTGTTGGCCATTTGTATGTCTTCTCTTGAGAAGGGTCTATTCAGATCATTTGCACTTTTCTATTTGGACTGAATGATAGCTTTATTTTTATATTCTATACTTTTAGCACCCCTGAATTGCCCCTGCTAAATCCTTCTTGGTGAAACAATGTGAGAAACTGCAGATCTGGGCTATTAAGTTTACCTGTTTCTTTAGTTACTACTTTAAAATACACAAAATAACAAAAAGTATACATAGTATTTTCATAGAACTTTTTTCTTTCTGGAATCTTGTGTTAATGTTTATTGGTATGAGATATCAACCTCAAAATCTAAGCAATCTGGTGTTGACTCAGGTAAATCTTCAGGCAGTTCTGTGATCAGCATGTTCCTATATACTCAATCTTGGGGAGGTTGAGTGCTTCCCTCTTCAAGTTTAAACAGCAGAGTCCACCAGTAACTCCTGAAACATAGTGGTTATTAATGTCTGTTTATTTGCATAGGAAAAATTTGTTTACATGTACATGTTCTAGTTTTTATCCTTTGGATAATTATAGAGCAATGAGTGCTTTTTCAAAGTGAAACCCTAAAATTGTGTCTGTTTTTCCACATGTGGAAAGCAACTTCTTTTAGAACTTGAACTGGATTAGTTTTTGCAAGGATGTATGTTTTACTTAATATGTATGTTTAAAATCTCGGTTTATTTAACAACACAGAGTAAATTTCTATAAGTGAAGTAGACTCTAGAAATTCATTTGACTTAGAATTACTGGTGATTGGGACCAGCAGTTGGTATAATGTAATTGACCGTGGTTTGAGTCCCGGACCCAGTGGCTTAATAAACTCATGCCAGGTGCGTGTATGTGCATGCCCAAGATCCCAAGAGGAAAATGGAGGAGAAGGGATTGTGACAAGGCCATCCTCCCCCAGGGGGTGATTTCTCACTTTCTGTCTCTCTGTCTCTCTTTCTGTCTTTCTGGCAAACACAAACACCCTATAGCAAAACCTCTCAAAAAAAAAAAAATTACTGGTTGTCGGTAAAATTTATCTTTATATTGAAAAAATAGCATTTGGGTATGGCATCAATTCCAATTTTTCTGACATATATAATATGTATTAGGAGTAAAGGAAATAATAGTATTTAGAAAAGCAGGTATATGTACTTCTTCCTTGGCACTTAACCATGTAATTAATATGTGTGTGTGTATGTGTATGCTGTGTAAATTTATGGTAAATAGTACCAGTTTCCTTCAGTGCTCTGAAAATTCAATGTTGCATGATATTTCTGTGTGGTATTGGGGTTACTTGTATATAAATCTATACACTTAACTTGTCTCGTGGATTTTGCATGCTACACTAATCTCTGTTAAATCTGTCCCCTCTTTATTCAGAGTATGCTGTCAAGGTCCTTTAATTCCAATTTTACTGCAGTAAGCAGTTTTCACTATGGCAGCTCTAGGGATCTGCATGGCAGCCAGGGCAGTCTTGCCTTGAGTGTTGCAGATGGAAGAGGTTCTGGTGGGCACATTTTTCGAGTGAGTACCTACAGTAGTAGACCAGTACTTTCAGTGCATAGAAGAGGAAATCCCAATTTTTACATGTTTTAATGTTTCTGGGGTGGGGGGACTTATTGTGAGGTGAGTCAGCCAGTGGTGTGGTGGTTAAGGCAGTTGGATCCCACATGGCTGACTGCATGGTTTGAGCCCCAGTCCCAGTGGCCTGAAAAGCACTATTAGGCAGTTGTGTGGGTGCTCAGAGTCTTGTGAGGAGACTGAAGGAGAAGGGATTGTGGTATGACTTTTCCCCCTGGGGGATGCTTTCTCACTTTCCCTATCTCTTTCTGTACTGTGCACACATGCCTTGTAATAAATTTTTTAAATAATTAATTTAATTTAAAATTTTACATGGGCTGAAAATCTTGATTTGCTTTGAGTTCTTCCATGACTTGGTTCTAAAACTTTCTTTAAAGCTTATTTAGTCTTTATCTCTTATGATTTTTTTGGCCATGCATTAATCAAGTAGTCATTTCTTATTTATTTATGCAAAAAAGAGGTGAACAATAGGGAAAATAAGAGGTTTTTAAAAATTATTATTTGCGGAGTTTTTCTCTTAATATTAAAATTGTGACCAAGCTTCAGTAGCACTACTAAGACACCATGCTTCACAGGCCAGAAGCATATAAGAATTGAACCCAAGCCTGACTGGATTCGATTCCTGGCCATATGTGAACATATATATGATGACAGACAGCTGTAGTCCCTGCCAAGTCAGTAGGCTTATTCGAGAGGATAGCAACAGTGAGATCCTGTCAAAACATATGTATATGTCTTGCTCTCCCTAGCTCCAGGTTTTGACCCCAGTGATTGAGGATTGGCTAATAGCAAGCACTATCCAGAACTAAGTTCAATCATAATTCACTGAATATGATTAAATGTGAGGCTGCAGATGTTTTAATAAATAATGATAAGATAAAACTGAAATCCAAATCCTTTATTATGTGCATTTTACCATAGCCCTTAGTAATGAAGAAGAGAGGGTTTTTTGGTTGGTTGGTTTGTTTTCTTTAGGCTTTGTCCTCGGGTGTGTGCACTTGTCAGAGAGAGAAAATATGAAAAATCACCCCCAGGAGGGGATGATCATGCTGCAGTCCCTTCTCCATTCTCCTCTCAGAAGAATGGGCACACATAAACCTGGTGTGATTTTCTTTTAAACCTGCTAGGTCTGGAAATTGAACCATAACCACCCCTGTCAGAGTCCAGCTTCTTAACTACTGTGCCACCTGCTGGCCCCAGGGTTTATTATTTTAATTTTAAAGTGAGGGATTAAAATTACAGTGAAAGAAAGAACAGAGCAACTCTGGCGTGGCTGTTTTAAGATTTTTCTCTTCAAAACAACTTGAGGTGTAAACCAATGTTTATGTAAGCCTCTCTCCTTCCAACCTAAAAAGATCTTTTTCTTCTTCTAACCCTGTTTTACCCCCTCTCCACAGTTTATTTCCATATTGATTCTGCTTACTTCTGGGTCTTTTATTGTGCTGTTGGACCTCCTCCTCCCCTCTCCCATTTCTAGAAAATATCCCTGGTTTTGCTCTGTTGTGTTTTAGAGTGGGAGAAATCTCCTAGATCCACTGTGCTCTGACTGTGCCTGACCTAGTCTTGCCCTGTCTCCTGTCACCTCCTGTGGATGGGGTTCTGTGCTATCACAGTGGCAGCTGTCATTTTGAAACTTCTGAATTTGAAAGTGGGAAAAAGAAGAATGATGACTATCAGTACCTTATTCCAACAGAGTCCTGGAGTAAAGAACAATGGTTTTTATTAACTCCTGGCTAATCTCTGCCATTTCTAGTTATCTGGAACAATTTTTCTTCCTGAAGTCGTTTACAATTTATGCTCGTTTTCTTAAATTCAGTACTTTTGAGTCCATTGAATTTTACTTTCACTCCTTATACTCTTGTTCTTTTAAAGAGTAGATAAACAAGTTGTGCATTTGAGCTCGAGTTTAAATTTTAATCTGTAAACTAAATTGATTATTATGTATTCTAAAAGCACCTCTCAAAAAGGGAAAAGGAAAATATTTCTTGCATAAATACACAAAATTAAATCACATCTAAAAATGCTAAGCCATGTTTGAACTAGCAACTAGCTACACATGCCAGATCTTTTGCAAATGCAACTTCTAAGATTAAATTATAAATCCTTTTTTGAGGAATTATTTTATTTAACTTTATTGATTTATTTTCAATTTGACCTGAGAGGGACAGAGCGAGAGAGCACATGTGAGAGAGAAAAAGTGAGAAAGCAAGCCGCCAGGTCTGAGACTCAGACCGCAGTTGGCCATGTCAGAGTCCAGCAAGCTAACCACCATGCCACCTGCTGGCCCCCTAAGATTGAATGATTAAATCCTTAAATTTATATGTCTCCTACAGTATATCATAATGATAGATTTCAGATATTCTTCACATGATGATAGTTTGCATTTCTGTATTGCTAGCCATATACTATTTTGAACGTAACAGTAGTGCTATGTTTTATCATCTTTGTTTTCTAAAATATACTTAGGTGAGTTTGGAACTAAATTAAAATTTAAAATATAGGTGTTTTATTTTCCAACATACTAATAGTAAGGAATATTCAGAAATAGAGTCTATTTTTCCTCTAAAGTTAAGTAAGGTAATTATGAGATATAAGGATATTATTAGACATATAATAATATAAACTAGTTTGCTAATTTTAAAAGCAGTTCTCTAAACCAGTACTCTTAAAAATATTGAACTAATATTAATGTGATAGAATTAAGGTAAAACAAGCTTTATAAGATTACAAATTGATTGGTACTGTCATCAGTACCAATTTAAGAGGGAAAATAAATCCACTGTGGTACTGTGGTGTGTTAGAAAAACAGCGGTTAAGTTTTTTACCAAAAACTTTTCATAGTGCTCAGTAAGGGTATATTTTAATTGTATTTAAAATGTGAAATTCTTAGCTTTGATAATTAATTGTTTAAAAAGTATTAAAAACTAGTCATTGCTATAAGTAAAACAAAAAGGTAGAATATGTAAAATTTGTTTTTCCATGTATGCATCATAAATAAATAGATTCAATATATGCATGTGTATACACATATAGATATATAGATATATCCATATATTGTTTCACACATTACAGAAGCAAACATCTTTTAACTTTGGAGAAAGTTAAAGGTACTAATAGATGTCAGTAATGACGGTAATATTTCATTTGAGTTTTCATCTTTCCACTATGTAGCAATATTTTTTCTTAATCTTCTTTCAAGTGTCATCATTTTGGTTTCACATCTTAAAGAGCATTATTTGTTTACCTTCTATTTCTACCCCCCACCAAAGACATCCAGTCCAGGAGATCCTTGTCAAGATGAAATATTCATTTCAGGACAGCAGAAGTATTCGTCAGCTACACTTAGTCACAAAGATGTTCCTCCAGACAGCTTGATGAAAGTAGGTGCTCAGAAAATAAATGAAGTAGTATCTGTGAGTTTAACTGTGTTTTCCAGCTTTTGAATTAGAAATACATATTAACTGAAAATAACTTTTGAGCATTTTCCTTTGATTAGTAAGTATTTTAAAAAGCATAATTCAAAAATATAAAATATAACTTGATTCTGCTATTTCTGAGTTTTATTTTATGATTTTTTCCCACACTGGAGATAATTTTATTGTTGAATTTGGATTTCTGTAGTACTACCTGTTTACTTCATCATTGGAATCAAGATTTTTTTGCATTACTGATAGGAAACCTATTTAAAGAAGTGAAGATTAACTTGTCTTAAATTATTCATTCTGGTGTCTTTTGCTATTACTAAAGGCACTTAAAAATACTTCACATATGATTAAACATCATCTTGAAAGACTTTTATGTGATAGATGATGGTTGTAGTCTTAGTACTTTTAAGACAAAAAGATAGTATCACTCATTTAGAAACAGATTATCTGTAGCTGATCCCAATTCTTTACCATTCTCTGCCTGCTATTCTTTCTCATTTTCTTAACTAATTCCATGACTGTAATAGAAACATATAATAATAATGAAACACAGTGATTTATTATGCAGAGTTTACAGTGCTCTTGAAGTTAGGTACCCAGCTATCTAATACATAGGTTCATAAGTATTTATTTTACCCATTTTTCTTTTAATTGAGCTCTTGTCACTGTTTCTTTTTCTTTTTAATATGCATTTTGTGGTTTAGATTACTGAGTTCATTTTATGCTTTTTAATCTTTTGAGCCACCTGCTAATTGTTGCTTAATACATTCCATATGTATGTTTAACATTCATATGAACAAGACCAAAGATCCAGATATCAGGGAGTCTTAAAGCTAGGTGAGTAGTAATTATCATCTGGGTTTTTCCCAGGAGAAAAATTCTGAATCTGTACAAAGGAATAAATGGTATTAAACATAAAGAGAAACAAGGGCTAGCTACAGAATTGTGCATGAGTAATAAAGCAACAGCACAACCAGTTAATTACTCCCAGGCAAATAAATTGTTTTAAATCTATAGTGATTAAATAATAAGCAACTATAGTTGTTTTCAAAGATAAAATGAGAATATAGCACCTCATTTTCCTTCTCCCCTACCAAGAGAGTATTTGTCAGAGTACTATCATCCTTGTGCCATACTATAAACACCCATGTATGCTTCCAAACTTTAGAATTAATTATTAAAGTATCACCATGAAAAAGAGTGCCCCCCCTTTTTTAAAAGTACAAGTCTTCTTCACCAAAGTCAAACAATTTTGTATCTTTCAGCAAAGTCCACCTGAAAAGAGCTTATAGTTTGAAACTTTTGCCATATCTCTCTCCAAACTTTCATAGTTTTGGATAATTTTAAGGGAAATGAAGCACAGCTGTTTTAGTTTTCCCATGATTTCCTTGTGGATGAGGTTACCTTTCTATTAATAACTAACTAGGAAATTTTAAATGATTGACTAGCTGAGTTTTCCTTCCTTACACAAAAAAATGCTTTATATGCAAATATTGGTAATAAGAGTGTAACTTCTAAAATAGATACTTCACACTAACAGAATAAACTATTAGCTACATTTCTAGGAAGATGATTTTAAGTCTGAGATTTAGATTCAGTTTCTATAAAAATGAGGTGCATTAAAACAAAGATAGTTCTTAGGCTAGCAGGTGGCATGGTGGTTAAGACAACTTGATCTCATATGGCCAACTATGTGATTCGAGTCCTAGACCTAGTGGCTTGAAAAACACACCAGGCTCACATGTGTGCATGCCAAAAGTCCTGAGAGGAGAATAGGGGAGAAGGGATTGTGGTGTGGACAACCCTCCTGAGGAGGGTACTTTCTCACTTTCCCTCTCTCTTTTTCTCTTTTTCTGTTTCTTTCCAGTGAGTGTATACACTCTATAGCAAACTTACAAAAAGAAATTAAAGGCCAGCAGATGGCATGGAGGTTAAGGCACTGGATTCTACATGACCAACTATGCAGCTGGAGTCCTGAATCCATTGGCTTGAAAATCGTGCCAGACATGCTTGCATTTCTAAAATCCTGAGAGGAGACTAGAAGAGAAGGGATTGCATCATGGCCACCCCCACGTAGGGTGATTTTTCACTTTCTCTCTGGCAAGCACACACACTGCACTCTATAGCAGAAACTTAAAAAATAAATAAATAAAAAGATCTTTAATAATGGTAAACTAATAGTATCACGTTTTTTGTTTAGCTTGTGAAGGATAAACAAGTCAGTCAGTATTTAATTTTTGTGGTTGATATTCTATAAAATTAATATTAGATATTTTTAAAAAATTGCTAGGTGGGGGCCAGCAGGTGGCATGGTGGTTAAGGCACTGGATTCCCATATGGCCAATCGTGGTTCAAGTCTCAGACCGGTTGATTTGAAAATCATGAAAAATAAACACATTGCTAGGTGGTATGTGCACATATATATGAAAAATAAATCAGTGTTCTACTTCATAGCTGAAGTAGCTTGTTAAATCTGGAAAGGAAGGAAAAAATAGAAAAAAGTTTAAGAGAGGAAAAAGTTGTACTGGCAATAAAAAATTAGTTTTTGCCTAAAGAAAAATAGTAGCAAGTATACCTTTTGCAACTATGTGTTTAACTATAATAAGGGAAAAGATACCCTTATAATATGCTCACTTAAATTTTAAAATGTAGACATACTTTTTGCCATTTTAACCTTTGGTTGCTGTAAGAAAGATAGGTTACATTTACATCTAACAAGAAAGCAAATAGTTTAAAATATAGATATGATATACTGTAATTTGAAAATTTAAAAGCCTCAGTCTATCAGCAAGTTCCCAGGCAAGTTTAGAATTAATACATTAATAGCTTTTTTCTTTTAAGGTTTAAAATTAGAGAAAAATTGTAATTGGCATGATATTGTATGATTTAGAATGTTTGAATTCTAGTGCTTTTGTAAGTTTCCTGGAAGAAAATCCAAATATATGTAATAACACATTATTACTGGTCATTTTAAGATACTTCATGTTTTTCTTAGATGCCTTTGAGTAATGGACAGATGGGCCAGCCTCTCAGGCCTCAGGCAAATTATAGTCATATACATCACCCCCCTCAGGCATCTGTGGCAAGGCATCCCTCTAGAGAACAACTAATTGATTACTTGATGCTGAAAGTGGCCCACCAGCCTCCATATACACAGCCCCATTGTTCTCCTAGACAAGGCCATGAACTGGCAAAGCAAGAGGTAAGAATAATCAAGACTATTTGAAAATGAGACTAAGCTTTTCATTTATTTTAGCATATAAATCCATATAGAATTTTAACATAGTTTTCATCATTTTGTTTAGAGTTTTAGTTTTATGTTGTTTTTAGATGTCAAGCTTTATGATTTTAACTTTGAATTTATTATCATATGAAATAGTATAGTATTCTGGGCTTTTTTTTATTTTAAGGCAGCTCATTTTCCAAAAGTGGGTTGATAATACTCCTATAGTCAGACCTTCAGAAATATAAATAATAAACCATTAAGCTAAAGTGGCATATTGTTCTGTGACACTGAAAATCTTCCTTAGATTTTGAAATTTGACTGCAGTCTACAATTATTTAATCTTTAATTAAAGTTCTTAAAAAGTCATCCATACATTCACGAATTTTGAATATTAACAAAATGATCAAATTTGTTAACAATGATCAGTAATATTAAAAACTAGAAATCTAATGCTTTAATCATTTTGGTTGAGACTGGTTGAAAAAGAGTGTTTTGTAATGAAAGTTTAGTTCTTACAGCTTTTTTGTAGTTTGGTTTTAAAAGCTCTCAATCGATCATGTTTTAAAATTTCAACCCCTTTGAAGCATATAAACAGATTCAGCATATTAAGAAATAGTATCTCCAAACCATCATTTTTTTAAAGTTGTCTTATAAAGAAAAGCCACTAGACAGAGATTGTATATAATTTAGGTGTGTTACACAAATAGAAATTGATAATATACCTATTTTCTGTTTATGCAATGTGTCTTTAAAATGTAAGAGATCTAAAAAGTAAAATAGGGTCAACATTAATTGATTCCTTATCCTCATATGATAAACAATGAAGTTAGGAGCTGCGCTTAATAATCTCAGCTATGCCTTTAACTCACCACTAACTCATTAACATAACATTCTGTATTCTAGTTTCACTTCACCTGCCCAAATGTTTATTTTTGATGAATTTTTACATATTTATGTTTGCTTAAACTCAATTCAACAATATTTAAATACAGATGTGTTACCTTTTTCTAAAACAGTAGTAACAGTTTACTTTTTTTTCATAATAATTCAGATTCGAGTGAGGGTTGAAAAGGACCCAGAACTTGGATTTAGCATATCAGGAGGTGTTGGAGGTAGAGGAAACCCATTCAGACCTGATGATGATGTAAGTTTTGTTTATATATCCTTGAAAAAAAAAACAAAGTTTTGTGTGTGCGTGTGTGTGTTTTCTTTTTCTAGAAAGCAGGAAGGGTTGGGGGGCGGGGGAGTGAGAAACCACTAGCCCCTTCCCCATGGGGTTGGCCATACTACAATCCCTCCTCCAGTTCTCCTTTTGGGATTGTGGACATGTATACATATATGCCCAGCTGCCTTTTAACCACCTTGCCACCAGCTGGCCTGAAACCCATGAAGTTTTACGTGCTAAATCAAAGCCTGTTGTATGTAAGTGAAAAGCTAATAGACATTTATGTAGACAAATTCCGTCTGTATTGTGTTTAGCTTTTTGCTTTTAAATTTGATCAGTTCAAGTTAGTTGTTTGAAGAAAAACTTAAACCAAAGTTTTGAAATGTTCATGATATTATCAAGTGGATTTTAATTTTCTTAACTGCTTTCCTGCATATCTATAGAAGTATTATTCATCACTGTAGTAGAAATGACTATACAAAGTTAGAATTACCAGAGGCATAAGGAACTGTGGGTAATCTCAGTATTACGTGGAGAAGTCAGGGAGAAAACTGGTTATTGTGATTCAAATGTTGACATGATATGGAAGGGAGACTGTTTCTGTACTCTGTTATTTATGCATACTGTTTGGGTTAAATTATCTTTTTTGTTGTATTAAAGGGTATATTTGTAACAAGGGTACAGCCTGAAGGGCCAGCATCAAAATTATTGCAGCCCGGTGATAAAATTATACAGGTAATTAAGATAAATCTTTTTATTATTTTCTTTTCCTTTATAACACTCTCAAGTGTTTGCATAGTTTAAAGTACTTCTGTTTTATACCTTGAAAATTATGCTTTATGTTTGATATATTATTTTCTTTTGAGTTTAGAAATACTAATTTTTGCCAACTTGGGGGATCAGAGTACAATTTTTTAAAAGAATTATTTATATAATTTTATTTATTATTATTATTAAATTTACTATAGGGCACATGCACTCACTAGAGAGAGAGAAAGGGAAAGTGAGAAAGCAAGCCACCAGGGACTCACACCATGATTGGCCATGTGGAAGTCCAGTGCCTTGCACACCATCCCCTCTGGTCCTCAGAGTACTACTTCTTAGAGGTGGACTGTCATCATATGAGAATTGGAGAAGGAAATTTCAAAGCGATAAATCCTGCTTATTTTCCCATGTCTCCTCTTTGTCTCTGTTCCTAAACACAGTGTCTAAACACTTGCAGTGAAGTTCTACCGTAGGAGGAAAATAAGCATAAGATACAAATGCAGTTCTCATGCTCTGCCCCGACTTCACGATTGTTAATTCTGAAGTTAATCTGTAAAAAAAATAACTCCAAGCCAAAAAATACACTGTCATTAGAGTTTAGTAGCTGAAAGTACAGACTCAGGAGCCACAGTGCCTGAGTTTGAATCCTGGCTGCAAAATTTAAAAAAATATAACTCAAAAAAACTTTGTAAAAACTTTTCAATAATTTCGAGCAAAGAAAACTGTACAAATAGTACAACATATACCCGTAAACAGGTCACCAGGTGCTAGTATTGACATTTATTATTATTATTAAATTTACTATAGGGCACATGCACTCACTAGAGAGAGAGAAAGGGAAAGTGAGAAAGCAAGCCACCAGGGACTCACACCATGATTGGCCATGTGGAAGTCCAGTGCCTTGCACACCATCCCCTCTGGTCCTCAGAGTACTACTTCTTAGAGGTGGACTGTCATCATATGAGAATTGGAGAAGGAAATTTCAAAGCGATAAATCCTGCTTATTTTCCCATGTCTCCTCTTTGTCTCTGTTCCTAAACACAGTGTCTAAACACTTGCAGTGAAGTTCTACCGTAGGAGGAAAATAAGCATAAGATACAAATGCAGTTCTCATGCTCTGCCCCGACTTCACGATTGTTAATTCTGAAGTTAATCTGTAAAAAAAATAACTCCAAGCCAAAAAATACACTGTCATTAGAGTTTAGTAGCTGAAAGTACAGACTCAGGAGCCACAGTGCCTGAGTTTGAATCCTGGCTGCAAAATTTAAAAAAATATAACTCAAAAAAACTTTGTAAAAACTTTTCAATAATTTCGAGCAAAGAAAACTGTACAAATAGTACAACATATACCCGTAAACAGGTCACCAGGTGCTAGTATTGACCACATTGTCTATAGCACTTACCTTCTTTTCCCTTCCTTCCAGTTTATGCACATACACGGACACACATTTAGTTTTTTAATCACTTGGGAATTTGTGGTTTCAGTTTTTGACTACGGAGTTACTTACCTCTTTATGTGTGGTTTTTCTCTTCTCTAAAACAAGATGATAAAAATCTTTTCTGGATGTTGTTATAAGAATCAAAGGATCATTTAGGACTGTGTGTCTGGTACACAGGTAGACCTCAAAATATTAGCCTTAATGTAAGAAGTGTCATAATCTTGATCTGACAGCTTCAAGACAATGGGAAAATTAGGTCTGCTGCCATTGTAGTTTGTAGTTTGATCACCTCAGGAGGATATTAACGTTCCCAGATTTAACCACTCATCTGATACTGGCTTAGACAAGTGATACCTAACATTGGGCTGCTACTTAATGAGAGTTAAGAAAACCTTGGTAAAATACAGGTTCCTGGAGCCTAAATTTAGAGATTTTATTTCCACAGGTACTGGGTAGGGCTCATGAATCTATACGTTGTTTTAAATTGCAAAGTAATTCTTATTTTCTGCCAGGCTTGTAAATTACCTGGCAATAATTTAAATGCATAAATGCAAATAAGTTATTATAACATTTTTTTCTAAAAGCGTTTTTCCTCTTTCTTCTAGGCTAACGGCTACAGTTTTATCAATATTGAACATGGACAAGCAGTGTCCTTGCTAAAAACTTTCCAAAATACAGTAGAACTCATCATTGTAAGAGAAGTTTCTTCATAAGCACTGTGGACAAAAAAGAGGGGGGGGAAGGCAGCAAGATTTATGAGAAGATACTTGCAAGGGAAATGAATATTTTGACTATTTTTATATATAAAGAACTCAAATTATGTTCAAATTTGTACATTAATGAAATAATGGAACTTGTGGTTAGAGGGAAAGAACCACTGTACAGAATATAAAGGAGACTGTTGAATTCATACCATATAAATTTTGTTGTTAGGTTTTTAAGCATAGCAATCAAAGTTACAAAAACAAATCTATGTTGTTTTTGTATAGATTGTAGGTTTATTTTTGGATTTCATACACATGACTGAACTGTGTGCAAGGCAATAGTTAGCCTTGATTGTAGCCCAGAGACAGATGGCAGAGCTATCTATCTCATAGCTTTTAGGCCCTTATTTTTATTCAACTGGTATTAATGTTTTTCTGCTGAAACTACTTTTGATGTGGCAAGAGATTTGAAGTGTTGGCTTTTTGCTATGTGCATATTGAGTTGAAGAGTGAGTAGGTGAAGGTGGTGCTGGTGGGTTCACTTTCCAAGGCCAGATTAAAACAGTTATTTCTTAGAAAAATCTGGAAGCAAAGAATGAAAAAAAACAAGTTTTTATTAATAGAATAATGCAATAAAATATGTAATGTCTTTTTAAAGTAAAAAAGACAATAATTGCATTTTACGAGCTCTACAGAACTGGTTTTTGTCATAGCCATTGACTATACATTTGCTACTGGTGATTCAATTTTTAATTTTTTAGTCACAGAAAATTTTTAACTCAACTGCAGATGGTGTCCATGCATTTTCTGTGCTATGGAAATCCCTTTTTCTTTTTTTTTTTTTGCAAATGGTGGTACTTGTGATCTGTTTTATATTTAGTACTCCATTTTAATCTAATTTATAATTTTTATTTTAAGCAGCAAATGAAGCTAAAATGGCCCATTTTAAGTGTTGCCTATAACACAAAATGTAAGAAGGTTTAGGAAAGCCTCTTAATTTTTGTATAGCCTTGCATTGCCTTGGTAAAGTAAAAGGAAATAGTACGCATGAGCTAGGAAACCAAAGCAAGTTTGTGAAACTGGCACAGTGGTGGAGGAGAGTTGTAGAGGAAAGGGACATGGCCCTTGAGGCCAACCAGTGTGTAAAGGAGTTCAAATAAAGGGCTGTTCCTACAGGTAACGTTAAATGTGAACTTGACACTTCGGAGTCTTTAAAGGGTTTCTGAGTGTATCAGTGTAATAGTATTTTACCACCAATTGCCTTTGTTCCTAGTTACTGTAACAAATATTTGATGATAGAGGTTCATTAATTTTGTTTATCCAGACCATTAATTTTATTTGTTTTTGTTCTGTCTATGTAATCAGATAAAATTTGAGTAACATGCAGTGGTAAGAATGAATGCATGGTTATTTGGACCAGGAAAAAAGTGCCATAGAAGACCAATAACTGTTTTTAGTTGAGGCTAGTCTGGAACCTTCCATTAGAGCAATATTTAGTTATTGCAATTCATTTTTACTTACTAAGAAATATAATTTGGAAATTTTTATTCTGTTATTTGTTCTTCATCCTTGATTTTATGAAGTCTTTTATAGGACTAGCTGAAACACCAACCTACATTATTTTTGCAAGAAGTGAGTTGGACTCACTTTCCATTCTTGCTAGTCAGAGTAAATAGGCAGCACTTTTAAAAATATGTGAACTCTCAAATATTGCACTTCTTTCAAGATGTTATCAATTGGTTATTGTACTGTATAGTTTTAAAATTTTTAATTGAAACCCTTTAACAACTCTTTGTAAATTTTAATTCATTTTAGTTGATTTTCAGTACTATTTACATAGGAATTGATTTTTATGGATATGTAGAAGAAATGTGCTGTATTTTGATAAAATTCACTTACTGTATGTGTGTTGTAATCTCATAAAAAGAATGACAGCTTCTTTAAGACAAGTCTTGGTATTCACCTTATTCTTATTTTAAAATACGAATTTTAGCTTTTATCCTGAGTGAGAATATTAAAAGTAATGCCATAAAGAGAAGAAGGTGCAGAAGGAAGGAAGAGCTGTGGGCATTTGTAGGAAGCCCCATGCTGACCTGCAGCACAATCAGCTTTGAAAACAAAAGATTCGTTATGGGTATATTAAAACACTCAGCATTTAAGTTCAGTGAATATTTGTGGATGGATGAATGAATTACACATGGGCTGTTCAGATTGTGACATACTAACATGCAAGAGAGCAGCATTCCCTATTGTCAGTCTTGAAGGCCTGAGCATACATTCATAGGAAGGCTGACATCAGCTGACTGTTCCAAAGTGAATCCTAAACTGGCTGCCCCCCTAGGAAGTTCCAAAGGAGCTGCTCATAAAGGTAGTTAAGATGTCTTGTGACTGGCAAATCCTCAGCGGCACTTCTTTAATTGACTGAGGTATTAGCAGCACCGTATGCTCGGGCATTAGCCAGTTCCTGCTGCCGACAGGCTTGCCTGATGTTTGCCAAAAATCCCATCTGCTCTGTGCTCTCAGTTTCTTCGCAGCTCCATGACACATGCATTATTTTTTACGAACAAAGGGAAATACATCTCTACTTAGCCTCTTTATGGCTTAAAAGTGAATTTGACTTAACTGGTTTAAGTTTTTCATGTATTATTTATTGATATGTCAGGCAGTCATACATAGGTTGGGATATAAAGCATTAGCTTACTACCTAAATATTTTTGGAGAACTTCTTGCTGTTGTGTTGAGAACATGGTATACAACTGTACAATAATCTTGTTTTTAGAAACTGCTAGAGGGCATGTGTGCTCACTGAAGAGAGAGGAGGGGGAGAAAGTGAGAAAGCACCCACCATGAGGAGGAATCACGCTGTAATCCCCTCTCCTCCACTCACTCCTTTCCAGATTTGGCACACACACATGCACTGAGCATGCTTCTTGAGTTGCTGGGTCCATGACTTGAAGTCCACCATAGACTGTGGAATCCAGCTGCCTTAATCACCACACCATGGCCTGGTCCCATAACCTTCTCATTTTAAGTGTTATTATTTGTGCTGCTGCTTTGAAAACACTACTAATAAGCAAAGAATTTCATTTACCAAGCATTTCTTTGGGGTTTTTTTTGTGCTTTTTTTATAAGCTAGAGAGCCTGTGCACTCTCCAGAGAGAGGCAGAAAAAAAGGGAGGAGAAAGCACCTGCCAGTGGGACATGGTAATGCCACAATTCCATCTTCTGTTTCTTCATCCTGTCAGGATTTGGTACACACACACACCCAGCATGTTTCTCTGGCTGCCGAGTATGGTACTTGAACTGCACAGCTGGCCACATGGGATGTGGCTCCCTTAATCACTGGTCCTCAGTTCCAGCTTTATTAAGTATTTCTTATATTTTGAAATATATTGATGAAGGCTAGCCCTGTAGCCTGGCGGTTAAGGAAGCTGGATCTCACATGGCAGACTATAGTTCAAATCTCTACCCTCAGGGGCTTATAAATCACACTGGGTATGCATGTGTGGGTGCCCCAAATCTCAACAGGATGGAGAAATGGAAGAGAAAGGCTTACGGCTTGGCCACACCCCATTAGGGGATGCTTCCTCCCTCCCCCTGTTTCTAACAAGTGTATGCACACTCTGGCAACTGAATAAATAAAAGCAAATATATTAGTGAAAGCCAATTTGTGCTCAAACATTTAAAAAGAGAAAAGGATTCCACTGGATTAGCACATGAGAAAATAGCAATCTAATAGTCACTGGGCATCTTTTATTTTGGTCAATAACAACAACAAAAAAAAACTATTAATTTTTCCCAGCACTCTGAAAATCTAGAAAAAAATCTTTAACAATAAGAAATAATATATATGTTTGATTATTTTTAAATTTTATTTCATTTATTTCATTCAACCAGAGAGGAACAGCGTGAGAGCAAGAGAGAGCGAGAAAGCAAGCTGCCAGATCCAGGACTTGAACCAGGGTCAGCCAACTGGGAATCCAGTGCCCCTAACCACCACGCCACGTGCTGGCCCCTGTAGATGTTTAATTCTGGCAATTAAAAAAAAATTGTATATTGCCGAGTTTGTTTAAAACTGCTAAGTATGGGGACCAGCAGTTAGCATAATGGCTATGTCACTGGACTCCCATATAGTCGACTGCAGTTCGAGTCATGGACCTGGTGGCTTAAACTCACGCCGACGTGTGTGCGTGCGTGCCCAAGATCCCGAGAGGAGAATGGAAGAGAAGGGATTGGCGGCATGGCCATCCCCTCAGGGGAGTGATTTCTCACTTTCTGTCTCTCTGGCTCTCTTTGTCTTTCTGGTGAGCGCACATGCCCTGTAGCAAAAACCTCTCCAAAAAAAAAAAAAAAAACTGCTAAGTACGAAAAAGACATGATGACATTAGAATGTCGGCTTTTGGATTGGTTAGCATAAGACAAAGATAGGATTCCTGTGTTACTGAGTATTGCTAGGGTATTTCAATATCCATGGTGGTACTCCACATGCCAGGCATGTGTGCATGTGTCCCTCAAATCCTGACAGGACAGAGAAATAGAGGAGAGGAATTGCAGCATGACCATGCCCTATTGAGGGGTACTTTCTTTCTCTTGTCTCTGTCTCTCTCTGTCTCTTTTGAGAGCTTATCCACTCTCTGACAATTGAAAAGAAAGACTGACTGAAGTGATACGTTTTTGAAAAGTTCAGAAACCCTATTATCAAAACTTACTGCAATTGTCTTTCTAAATTTTAGGAGAAAGAAATGACCTTGGGTCAGTTATTATCAAATATGATAGAAAATATTTGGCTATCAACAGCTAGCAGAGAACTTTGAAATCAAGCATTATATATAATTCAAAACCAAACATAGCATTTAAAGTAGTTCTTTAGAAAAGGACTAAAATATTATTATAAATCTACCCTTGAATTTACTATGCAAGAAAGACACTTATTTTCCATATTAAATGGTTTCTCTTCACTTCTCCAATGTTTTTATATTTTTAGTCTATCTGCAAGTTAATCAATCTGTTATGGAATCCAACTCAGTCATCCTGAATGTTTGCACAAACACCCTCTGTGACACACAAGGTGACCTTCTGTTTCTTAGGGTCTAATTATAAGCCGGAGGGGACTTTGCCATGTGTTATTGGAAAGTTGTTTTCCTCTTAATATCCATGAGATCCCCGGGCCTGTCTGAGCTGATTGTAGTAGAAATGTTGCTGTAGAAGGTTTTTTTAACCTAAAAGAAATGCAATTTAGTTTGCTTTGATTGTGCTTGACAAACATCTGGAACACAGCTAAATACAAAACCGGTTCTGCAAAGACTCAGGTGAGGCACCTGTGTGTAAGATGAAAGCGTGGCCCTGTTCCATCTCTGACATGGGACCAGCAGGTGGCATGATAGCCGTAACCTTTGTGGGCATCTAGGGTACGTGGAGTCTATTTTCATTTTTCTTTTAAGTTGTCCACCTTATAATTCAGTAATGAGAGATACATATTGGATTATAAGGTGGACAACTTAATGACTGTCACTTCTTAGCATGCTATTGCTAAGACATTTTCTAAGCTTTCCTCACTTTTTTTTTTCAATGTGTGACAAAGTCTACCTTAGCAAAATGTTTCTGAAAAATTCCTGAAATAAGTGGTGAGTTCCTGAGGATCGGAGAGTTACTTGTTTTTTATTTCTTACTAATACCAAATATGATAGTATCTCTCATATGAAAGAATTAATTAATATTGTTAAATAGAATTGTTTTTGAGAGAAGATCATCTCCTAGAAAGTATTTTATACTCTCTAGACTGACAGCCTCCGATAGGACATACTGAGGTGATGGGTAGATTCTCTGTCTGTGCTGTGTAATATGGTAGTGAACTCCCTCATGTGGCTATTGAACACTGAAATATGGTTAGGGTGGGGGCAGCCAGTGGTGTGATGGTTAAGGTTGCTGGATCCCACATGGCCAACTTTGCAGTTCAAGTCCCAGACCCAGCAGCTTGAAAAACATGCTAGGTGCATGGGGGTATGTGCCAGAATTTCAAGAGGAGAATGGAAGAAAAGGGATTGTGGTGTGGTCACCCCACTCTGGGGATTGCTTTCTCTCTCTCTCTCTCTCTCTCTCTCTCTCTCTCCTCTGTCTTCCTCTAGTGAGTGCACATGCCCTAAATTTTTCCTATAGGAAATTTAGAAAAAGAAAAATATATAGTTATAGTGATTAAGGAACCTTTTTTAATGTTGGGATGTATGCATGCACTTGACAGAGAGGAGGAGAGAAAGAGAGAGACAAGGAGAGGAAGCACCTTTCAACAGGGCTAGTCTTACTGCAATCTTTTTTCCTCGCCATCCCATGAAGATCCTGGGCATATGTCCAGGGGTGTTTTTCCAGCCCGTAGGCCAGGAACCCTGGTTGTATGTGGGATCTGGCTTTCTCTATAGGATTTCACTGATTTTCTGTGGGACTAGCTATAAGGAACTTAAGTTTTAATGATAGTTAATGTTAATTAATTTGACTTTAAATATCCACGTATGACTTGTGGCAACCGTGATTATTAGATGGTACAGATATAGATCTACAGAGTTTTATTTGTGTTGAGGAACAGCAGGATTCTCTCAAACGCTGGGCCTGATTAGATAAGTTCTGTGCCCTTTCTCCTTTTATTGAAACAGATACTGGGGGGTTAGCTCGTCTTCCTCTGTATTTAAATTGCCTTGTTCCAACTCATCCAATCTACAAATATTTGTTTATCATTAATGATATGCTGTACACTCTGCCTGATGCTAGGGATACAAAAGCAAGCAAGACAGGTCCCTTCCCAAGAACAGCTTATACTTTAGTAAGGAAAGAAAGGTTAGAAAATAAATTAATGTCATGGAGGTAGCATAGGGCCCTTCCTGGCCCCAAAGGAAGGAATTATTGTTGATCCCCCGAGGATTTCAGAGAGTACCATGAGCTGTGTGAAAATAAGCAGGCC